CAATAGGAATAAATAAAAGTGCACAATCTGAGAGTGAGAAAGAAGGTGGGGAAAAAACTATGAAAATCAGACAAGAATTTTAAAAGCACAGCAGTCTGAGACCATTTAGTGCAAAGGTAAATTGTCCTCACTCCTCAATAGGAGTAAGGAAAAGGTCTTGGGACATCAAGTCCTTTGTACAATAATTGGTGTCTATAATTACAAACCTGAGCCATGAAGAAACATTAAATTATGTTGGGAATATTATTAACAAGACAGGGAAGCAAATCATTAATAAATAACAAGAGAAACATGAACCAAAAGAAGTCTGAGGTTTGACCTTACAGCCATCAAATTCACAAAGATAACGAAAGATGGAAATAGTCAAGGCTGGAGGGGGTGTGAAAAGCTAGGCATGCTAATAAACTGTTGGCAGAACTATGACCAATAATTCTGAGAAGCAAATTGGAATTATACCAAGAAAGAGATTAAAATAAGAGTCCCTAACCTTTTTCAGTTCCTGTATCTTTCCTGGCTTTCAGTTAACTTTCCAAGTACTCCCTATTCAATATGAAAGAAAATAAATTCTAGAGCATTTATGCATAAGAAATAAAGAGTCATTATTTTCAACAGTATAATGTAGTTATTTACTAAGTATTTCCCATAGCCTTGACAAACTTCTCATATTCAGATTGGGAAACTGGGCTAAAATGACCATAAGCATTGATGTGGAGATTCTACAGCTAGGCACATACCTCAGAGAGAAGAGAAGGAAGGAAGGAAGGAAGGAAGGAAGGAAGGAAGGAAGGAAGGAAGGAAGGAAGGAAGGAAGGAAGGAAGGAAGGAAGGAAGGAAGGAAGGAAGGAAGACCCTACATATAATAGAGTATTTACAGCAAAACTTTTTGAAGTAGCAGAAAATTAGTACCAAAGCATGTTCAGAACCATAACGATGTTTAGCTATTCTTCAACCAAAGTGCATCCCCTTTGATTAAGTAATGGCTAAAAAATTTTGGTATGGGAATATTTTGGAATATTATTGAGCAGCAAGAAATGGTAAATATGACTAATGTAGAAAAGCATGGTAAGAAAGATGAACTGATACAAAGTGAAATGTGCAGAATTAGGAAAACAATATACACAGTGACAATAAAAAACAGCAACAGAACAATCAAAATTGAATGCTGTGAAATTATAATGACCAAACTTGGGTCCAAAGAAAGGATCATAGATTCAGGACTGGAAGAGACTTTAGAGGTTAATGAGTCTATCTGCTTCATTTGACAAATGGAAAAACCTAGGCTCAGAAAGTTTAAGTGACTTGACTAGAGTCATATAGCAAATAAGTGTTTGAGGCAAGTTTCAAACACTAAGTCCAAATACTCTATCAATTAGACATCCACCTCCCTTCTTTGTATAAGTAGGAGATGAAAATAAAACACTGTATTGGACTTGGTTGACACATTGGTCCATTTCGCTGAACTGTTTTTCTTCCTCTTTTTTAGTCTTTGTTTTAAAGGATAACTCTCTGGGAAGATAAAGGGGAATGACTATATTGGGAAATATATTTATTCAGTGATGTAAAAATAAAAATACTAATTTTTTAAAGTTTTAAATAAGATAGGGTAGAGTACTGTCCATTTAGAAAGATCTTCATCCAAAAAGGTTAAAATTGTTTAAATAGCTTTTGTGTTTCAAGAGAGGAACTCTCAGAGAAATTTAATTAGAAAAAAACTATTAGAAATTCTATTGGAACAACTCAATTATCCAGAAATCCTTCTCCACAGATTCCAAATAGCCAAGATTTTACTCTAAGTAAAATTGTTCCATTTAACTCATTTTCCCCTCTCATACAAATAAATGGCCGTTTTAATTTTGCATGCAATAAAGTTAACTCATGGCAGTTCTTCTTTCACATGTAGACAACAGTCATAATATGACCAAAGCTAATAATTACCAGCTTACATATAGAAATTAGGCATTGCTCCCCTAAGTACTAGCTTTTTCTATCTTGGTACTTATTGGAGAGGGTTGAGAAAAGCCTTTGAAATTAAATATTATATGTCAAGTCAAGTCAACAGACCTTTATTAAGCACTTAATATGTGCCAAATACTGTGCTAAATTTTGGGAATGTTCAAAGAAAAGCAAAATAAGTCCCTACTCTGAAGGAGCTCAAAATTTAATAGGTGAGAGAATATGCAAACTCCCAAAACAAGGTAAGTATAGATATAGGCTAAATTGGAACTAATCTCAGAGAGAAGGCACTAGAATTAAGGGAGGGCAGAAAAGGCTTCTTGAAAAAGATAGGATTTTAGCTGAGACTTAAAAGAACCCAGGAGACAAAGATGAGCAAGGAGGGATTTCCAGACATAGAACCAGAATGTAGATGGAGTATTTTATCTGGGGAACACCAAGGAGGCCACTGTCATTGAATTGTAGAGTACGTAGGAGGGGAGTAAGGTGGAAGAAGACTGGAAAGGTAGGAAAGAGATAGGTTTTGACAGTGTTTAAAACCCAGAGGATTTTATATTTAGTACTGGAGGTAACAGGCAGTAGTAAGCTTATTGAATGGAGTAGTTTACATGGAAAGGTCTGTACTTTGGGAAGATCACTTTAATAGCTGACTGGAAAATGGATTGGAGTGGGGATAGATGAGACAGAGAAACCAACCAGAAGGCTATTACAATAACCTGGCTGTGAGGTGAATGAGGGCCTGCACCAGGGTGTGACAGTGACAGAAGTCCTCTAATATGAAAGTAGGAGTTTGGTATAGCAAGAAAGACAAAAACCAGGGACTGAACTCATTGAGGATGGGAGAAAAGATCCTAGAGCTCAGCAAATAAGCTATCAGAATCCTGATTGGGAGATAAATACGGACTTAATGGACATGAAAAGAGGAGAGTTTACTGAGTGATGGTGGTACCAGAAGAGTCTGGAAGTGGCCATGAGGCACAAGGAGTATTTCAACTTCCCAAATTCCACAAATGAATCAAGGGAACGAGTAAAAATGCAACCAATGCTAGAAAGGGTAGCTGGAAAGGCTGTGTCATCAGAAGGAGCCAGGTCTCCTTCTGAGTACGAGAAGATGGAAGGAATAAGAAAAGGGAAGGTTTAAGATGAATGCAAGTTTGTTACCTAGAGAGCAGACATTTCAGAGTACACAGGGGAAGAAATGGTAAGATCTTGAGTAGGATTTTGGTGGTGGTGGTGCTAGTTGAGGGAGATATGAGAGGAGGTTGCTTTTTTTTTTCCTACCCTGAATACAGAAGACAGAAAGAAAGAAAGAAAGAAAGAAAGAAAGAAAGAAAGAAAGAAAGAAAGAAAGAAAGAAAGAAAGAAAGAGAAAGAAAGAAGACCTAGATTCAAAGCCTGCATCTAACACATACTGGCTTGGAACCCAAGACAGGCCACTTATGCTCTCCATGTTGCAGGTAACTCACTAATACTCGGCAGAGAAGGTGCCCAATTGAATACCTAGAGGATGTTCCTTAGAAGGGGATCTCTGCACCCATGCAATCATAGGTCCAAAAGAAAGAAACAAAAAAGGTAAATTTTTGATAATGATACAGGGACAAATTTTACCTAAATGGTGCCAGTCCCCTTTTATAGACTCACAATAGCAGCTCACTAAAGGTTTGTCAGTGGTCTTGATGATTTTGAACTCAATGAGCCATCCTGTTTCATTGGGTTTCATTTTTTTTAAATGTAGGAGGGGAGTGGGGAAGATGGGGAGGTCATGTGTAGAGAGGGATAACTGATGGATACACCTGAACATAGACCATTGGTATGTACGCACTGTGGAGAAAACAAAGCCCTTAGCACATTGACTAAATTCCCTGCTGAAGATTTACAGAGGGATATGGGTACAAGAAAGGGAAGCACAACCGGGCTCTTGATATGTGCGTGACTGGAGGGAGGGCCCACTGCTGCGAGATCTCAGATCTGCTGAAGCATTTATAATCACTCCACTAGAAAGCCTTCAAATACAAACTCTTTTGTGGGTCCTCTAGAACCAACCAACCATCCAACCAAAGCCAAAGCTATGAAGGAAGTGAGAACGTAGAACGGGTTACATGACTTCAACTTACGAAGTAAATGAAGATACCGTCGTCGGCTATCGTTTATTGAAAGGGTCACGAGCTTGAACTTGAAGTTGCAAGTTAATTGTCCATTTCCAATTTCTCCGGGCCCATCTTGGATCAAAGATTAATTCAGTCCTTTGTTTTCCTTATTTAATGCAATACCATTGATCTGCAAAATGGTCTTAATATATCTTATTGTATTCTCAAGTGAGGATCACTCTCCTAAGTAACGCTGCCATAGTTAACTACATCTAGAGCACCTGGACTTTCCTGCCCTAAGAAGTGCTAGGCGTAAATGTACTGCAAAGTGATTAAAGCCTGGGCGTGAACATGGAGTGTGTGTTGTTTCCTAGGGTTGTCTGTAGTTTGCTGAGTGATGGCGGAGGTTCTAAGGACAGAAGATTAATTAGTACAAATTCTGCAACAAGCACGAAATGCCAAGAAGGGATTGTGATCTGAGCCTTCACTCGCTATGCATTCCCCGCCACGCTCCCCACTGAGGGGAAAGGCACGTAGTAGACTCTCCGAGGCCCAGGAGACAGGGTAGTTGACCGGGTGAAAAGTAGCATTTCGTTGGGACACGCACAAATCTGCTCCAAAAACGAGCCCCTCCTTCATTAATTAGGTTTTGTCTTTGACACTCCAGAGACGCAGAAACAACACTTAATAAATGCTCGTTAAATGAATGAACAAAGTAATTGATCAATCTGAAAGTCCGCTTCCGCAGCCCTAGAGACAGCCTGCGGGAGGCCGAGGAGCCAGGGTCCGCCGTTTCCCCCTCTCCCCTCCCTGTCTCCCCGCACCGTTACCTTTCCCCAGTCCCGGCTGTCTTCAACCTGTGCTGGATCATAGCTCCGGCGAGCCGCGGCGGGGCGTGGCCAGGACTGGGGTGGGGGCGGGGGCGTGGACCGGCGGCCTGAGCATTAAGAAGGGGCAGGGGCGGGGGCTGAAGGTGGCTTGCGGTCAGTTGCGCCATCCGCCCACTCTGCCCTGGAGCTCCACCACAAAGGTCCTCACGCTATGGATACAGCCAGGGACTATGCCGGAACGCTGATAAGGTTGGTTCTCAGCGCGTCCCCACGACCACGCGGTGGCAAGAAGGGCATCTCGGGTTCACTCCCACTCCAGCCCCGGCTTGCCCAAGCCTCCGGTTCCCCGCGGGCTTCGCCCTCTTCGAGTCCAGTCCCAATCTGGAGCCTTGCTGTGCGTGCCCCATCCGCATCCCGCTGGCAGCACCTTGCCCAAGTAGGAGCAGAGCCAGGACAGCTGCTTGCCTACTTCCCTCCCCTTTCGCCTCCAGAAAGCAAGAAGCCCAAGGGCTTTGACTTCTGCCTTCCTAGGCGATACTTGTCCGTTGTTGTTTTATGGGGCGGCCACCCTTGCATCTTCCGCCGCTTTACCCTCAATGTCTAAAGGCTAACTCGGGCTCCAGTCTGGGTGTGCCTAGCCGGGAAGTGTACGAGCACCCGCACTCCATCCACCTGCTGGTGCTGCTGCTTCACGCAGGGTTCCTCTGAACAGCGCAGAGGCTTCTCGCTGGTCGTTGCTGCGCCGTTGGTCTGTCTGCACGGTGGGTGGAGAGTGCCCGTTACAGTCTGCTCTCAAGGTTAAGGGAATATGGGAGTAGCAGGGAAGGAAAATGAGGAAAGGGATTTTTCCAATTTAGCCTGCTAGAGCTTCCAGGTGCCAGGAATTTAATAGAGATGCGGGTGTTTAGGGGTCCTGGCATTGGGAGTATCTGCGAAGCTGCTTGCCTAGAGGATTGCATTTATATGAGAACAGTTCGAGATTTCTCAAGGGGTTTATGTTACCCACCAAGGAGCGGCTGCGACAGTGTCTCATGGGAGCAGGAGACTGGTAGGAGAGTTGCCATTCTGAGACTCCCTGGAACTGGGAAGATGCCTCTCCAGAGCTACTTGAATGAAAATAATTGCTATTTCGAGACCCGTTGGCCCTTGGTGTTCAGCATCAGAAGGAGATGTGTTGTGATTTAGTTTTCCTAGTGGGAATTTTGTTAAATGGGTGGGGTGGAGGAAGCATGTAATCTCAGAATCTTGACAGTTGGAATGGATCTCAGAAACCTGTAGGAGCTTTGTTTCACTGAAACACGGTTTTAAAAGTAACAGGAAGCTTAAAAGACCACAAGATTTAGATCTGGAAGGGAATCTTGGCAATCATCTAGCCCAGCCTTCTCATTTTCTAAATGAAGAAATGGAGGTCCAGAGATGTTAATTAAACAATCCAACATCCTGCCCATAGAGGGATCTCCTCTACAGCCATCTCTGATAGATAGCCATCCAGCTTTTGCACATCTACAGTGATAAATACAGCTAGGTGGGGCAGTGAGTGGATAGAGTTCTAGCCCTGGAGCCAGGAGAATCTGAGTTCAAATCCAACCTCTGACACTAGCTGTGTGACTCTGGGTCACTTAATTAAGTCACTTAATCCTGTTTGCCTGTTTTCTCATCTGTAAAATGAGCTGGAGAAGGAAATAGCAAACCACTCCAGTATCTCCACCAAGAACACCCCAAATAGAGTCATGGAGAGTCAGACATGACTGAAATGACTCAGCAATCAATGGTGATATCCCTGAACCCTGTGATCCCTCTCCTAGCTAATTCTAGCTAGCTAATGTAAAAGCTAGCCTTCCTTCAGTATTGCTTTTGGGTCTGCTTCTATTGGAGAAATTACCTTCCATCTGTTTTCTTGAAAGATTTCAGTGATCATATCTTGTCTATCAGTGTCTTTGGAGGTAATACCTTTAAAAGGTCTTCACATCCATGAAAATCACTCATGAGTTATTAGAATATACATTTAAAGTGAGGAGTTTCCTTGGTCTTTTTTTCTGATTTGTTTTCTTCCTCTTCCTCCCACCCCCATTTTTAGCACTCTGAAATTACTCGGTATTTTGTAGTTACTTATCTGTGCAGGTTTCACTCTTCCCCAGCAAAATATAAACTCCATGAAGGCAAGGACTGTTTCATTTTTGGCTTTATATCCCCATTGTGAAGCACTGTGCTTTGTATGTATAGGTAGTTAAATGCCTTATTGAATTCAACTGCCTCATGAAAGAGTGAGTTTCCATAACTGAATAATTTTGAGCAGAAAGTAGATGAAGACTGGGAGGATTGTAAGGGATTTCATAAATGGGGTCATTGAACTAAATTAACTCTGGAGTAGGTTAGTTCAGGATAGTAGAATAAATCTTGGATTGGGAACTGTTTGTTTAGTCTGTGTGTGTGTGTGTGTGTGTGTGTGTGTGTGGTGTGTGTGTGTTTTCATGACCCCATTTGGGGTTTTCTTGGCAGAGATACTGGAGTGTTTTGCCATTTTCTTCACTAGCTCATTTCTTACAGGAGATAAAATTGAGGCAAACAGGGTTGAGTGACTTACCCAGAGTCACACAGCTAGTCAGTGTCTGAGGCCAGATTTGAACTCAGCAGATGAGTTTTCCCTGACTCCAGGCTGGTCCCCTCTATCCACTGAACTACCTAGGTACCTTGAATTGAGAATTAGGAAATCTTGATTTTGCCAAATCTACCAGAAACTGCCACTGATCAAGCAGTAGGTCATGACTAAACAGAGGTTTATGAAAACCAAACAGAGGTTATGACTAACACAATCTCCAGTACAATTAGGCAACCTCCTTCAAGACCTTGAGTTATTTTGCCTTCCTAGTAAAATCTCCACCCCCTTTTACCTCTCTCCTACCATGATTCCTTCCACTTCCTTATACCTTGGCTACTCTGATACAGTCACAGGGCTGCTGGAGCCTCACTCACTCATCTCTTCCCAAGGGCAGAGACCAAATAGATTATTTTCCTTGTTGTTCAATTGCGTCTGACTCTGTGACCCCGTTTGGGGTTTTCTTGGCAAAGGTACTGGAGTGTTTTGCTATTTCCTTCTCCAGCTCATTTTACAGGTGAGGAAACTGAGGCAAATAGGGTTAAGTGACTTGCCCAGGGTCACACGGCTAGAAAGTGTCTGAGGCCACATTTGAACTCGGGAAGATGATCCTTCCTAACTACAGGCCCAGCTCTCTATCCACTGTACCACCTGTCTCTGAACAAGTTCTAGTTGTGACTTTATCTTAAACAAGGTATGTAGCCCAGGAAAAGTTACTTTTCTCTGGGCCTCCATTTACTGTTGTGTAGAATTAGGAGTTGGACTATATGATTCGTAAGTTTCCACCTAGATCATAAGCAGCTAGCATTTATTAAGTACCCACTATGCCTTGGGCACTATACTAAGTTCTACAGATACAACAAAAGGCAAAAAACCAGCCCCTGTTCTCAAGGAGTTCACAGCAAGGAGACCGCATGCAAACAGCTATGAACAAACAAGACACACATAGGATAAATTGAGTATAGTCTCAGAGGGAAGACATTAAGATTAAGGAGGACCAGGAAAGTTTTCTTGCAGAAGGTAGGACTTTAGCGGAGACTTGAAGGAAACCTTAGGAGGTGGAATTGCAGAGGGAGAACATTCCAGGCATGGAGGAAAGCCAGTAAAAACAGTCTGAGTTGGGAGATGGAAGAGTGGGTTTTCTGAGGAACAAAAAGAAAGCCATTATCCCTAGATCTCAGAGTACATGGAGGGGAATAACGTATAAGAAGATTGAATGACTGGAAGGGGTCAGTTATATCAGTCGTGTAGGGTTTTAAGAGCCAAACAGAAGATTTTATGTTTGGTCCTGGAGGTAATAGGGAGCCAGTGAAGTTTACTGAGTATGTGTGTGAAAGGGGCTTTACCTGATCAGAACTATACTTTAGGAAGATTCATTTGACAGCTGAGTGGAGGAAGGGCACTTGTGGCAGGGAGACCAACCATTGGACTATTGTGCTATTTTTAAAAAATATTTTATTTTTTCCCTAATTACATGTTAAAACAAATTTTTTTTAACTTTTGAGTCCCATATTCTATCCCTCTCTCCCTTCCTGCCCTCCCCCCCTCCCTGGGATGGCAAGCAGTCTGATGTAGACTATACACATTCAATCATATTGCAATATACCAGGCATTAGGTGATGAGGACCTGCGACAGGGTTGGTAGTTGTCAGAGAAGAGAACAGGACATATGTGAGAGATGCTTTTGTTGCTGTTCAGTTATTTTCAGTCATGCCTGACTTTGTGACTCCATTTGGGGTTTTCTTGGCAAAGATTCTGGAGTGGTTTGCCATTTCCTTCTCCAGCTCATTTTTTACAGATGAGGAAATGGAGGCAAACAGAGTTAAGTGACTTGCCCAGGGTCACACAAGCCAGATTTGAACTCTCGAAGATGAGTTTTCCCTATTTCGGGCCTTGCACACTACCACTGCGCCACCTAGCTGCCCCTTATATGCTACTAAGGTAGAAATGACAAACCTGTTTCTAATCTTGTGGTAACTACAAGAAAACGCACTATTGCTTGGTGAATCCAAGTCTAGAAATGACTAGTTTCCATGTCAGTAAATACTCAATAAACACTTATTAAGCATACCTTGGGAATGAATAGAATCCATCTTGCTTATTGAGAAGTACTGATTTCCACACTTCAATTCAATATACATTTACTAGGCACCTACTGCATACAAAGCATTCTATCAGGTTCTGGGGATGAAGACACAGAAATGAAACAGCCCCTGCCATCAAGAAGCTATACAATCTACTGACCTAGCATCTATCAGATTTCTGTTCTTGTAGCAAGCTAAAGGAAAGAAAGGAGGTATTGAATTCACTCTGGATTTCCCAGCGAAGATTCATATTCCCATTTCCCATCCTAAAGATTGGACACCTTGTATTTAGGAAGATGTATATAAAAAAAGTTACACATTTATAGATACAAGCTGGTTCTTTATATGTGGGATATATACAGGGAACAATGATAGGAATTCCTAATGTAAGTTGAAGACTAAGTTAAAGCTGCAGAAAACAGTCTTGCTTTTGACCATTTAAAAGTAATCTAAGAAGGTTAAAAATGTTAGTCCCCAAGCTAAGTGGAGCAGGATAGTGAAGTATAAGAAATGTGCTGTACGTTGGTTGGCTTGATTGAATAAGCCTTATTACAGAAAGGCTTAAGGAA